GCGCGCGCAGCGGCGGCAGCGGCACCTGCAGCACCACGTGCCCCGTGCCCGCCGCGGCCGCGGCCGCCGCGCGCTCGGCTAGCTGTGCGGGGGACACGAGCGGCACGTCCGCCATGGGGGTATCGGTGGCGGCAGCGGCGGCGGCGGCGGCGGCGCCAGGGGCGGAGAGCGCCGCGCGGAGGCCGCTGCCCTCTCTCGCCAGGCGCTGCGCGAGGCGCAGCGGCACGCATACGTCGACGCTGGCTGGCAGCGGCAGGAGGGCCGGCTGCAGTGCGGCGCCTGGGGCGGGCTCGGCGCCGATGCAGATGGCGAAAGGCAGGGGGTAGGGCTGGGGGCCATTCAAGGGAGCGCTTGTCGTCGCCACGGCTGCTATTGCTGCGCTGGCGAGCGCGGCGCCGTTGTCTACAGCCACGAGCAGCTCGGTGCTGGCGCTGCTGGCGGCCCCCGGGCTGGAGGCCCAGCTGCCCTGAGAGCTCAAGCCGTCCAGTTCCATTGTGTGGGGTTGCCCTTGCTCCTACGAAACCGCGTGACGTGGGCGAGCGCAACTGTCAGGGAGCACGCACGTGTAGCCCACCGCGCTGTGCGAGATGACTGTCGCTTCAAAAAAGGTATTCAGGCAAAGCATTCTCCGGACCGGCCATTGTGTGCAACTACCTAAGATCGCCGAGAGTTGATGTGTCTTCGTGCATCACCCGTGTCCCGTCCTTCGCACCCGAGGAGACAGTTGTAAGTGTTTCACTATCCCTATTGTCATCTGGCGGACGCGTGCTTTGGGAACGGGATGCACTGGTGTGACACACCTGAGCTAAGTGAGGTGGTAACCCTTCTGGAGGACTCCGTTTTGGCACTGGCAGCTCCGATCGTTGCATGTTCAGACTGTCAGCCTGTCAGTAGAACCAAGGGGGATGCTCTGCCCGCAAAAAGCCGACTTGACAACTGCACCGCTTGCGCTGAGTCAACCTGCACCTGCTCAACATGAAGAGGTGGGCTCCCTCTCACTGCGAGCGCCAAGGTGTTCAGGCTGCTCAGATCGGTGATGATGACGGGAGCACGCGTGCTCGACAAATCAGGGTACACTTGTTCTGCATTGGGTAAAAAGCATGGAACCCTGTTGCCCCCCAGCTTGGGCGACATGCGATGGTGTGGTGATGTAGATGAAGAATTCCATATGATGCACGCATGGACCGATCTCTCCTCCTGGACAGAGTTTTGAAGGGTTGCATGCACCTAGCAAATCAACATAGCAAATCAGGCAAGGGACCCAACGATTTCAGCATTGCCCTCCATGCTGTATCAAGGCAACAACGGCAACGTGGCACGGTCAAGGCAACGTCAGCGCCAAGGTGATGTGGTCCCAATTGCTGCTCCATGTATGATGCGCGGGCAATCCAAGTCTGGAGAAGCTCAAGTTGATGAGTCGTCGTGTCAAAAAGCAGGGGTCGGTGCACGAGCGCTCTTGCATACACTGGCCACTGCTGTATGCAAACTCGCCGCGCCCCGTGAGGCATGCCCAACGTGCAGCAAACGCCACACGCACACCCCTTTGGCGGGGGCAGCATCAACAGATGCAGCTGACTGGTCTTTGAAAGGTAGGGAGAGGGAAGGGCAAGAGTTCAGATGAATGGCAAGTACCTGAGTCTACAATCAACCATGTGCAAGTCGACTGATGAAAACCTGGGTTTATGTGTTGCTGTTTTCAATGGCAGATGCCTGGCATCGAGTCAGCCAATCACTAACCAGCCGGCCAGCCGACACACTGAAGCAAAATCCCCATGAAATTATTCCCTTGTAAATGTACCCATGTAGACATGTGCACGCTTGCATTTGCTTGGCCTTCCCTTCAAACACAGTTGTGCCGCAGGCCTGCACGTTGGCAACGCGGCGCCCTAATTCCAGGCAGGCGCCCCCTGCGCTGTCGGCCCGGCCTCACCCTGCGCGCCGCTGCCCGCCTCCACAGCTGCTCTTGCCGAACCCAGTGGCAGCAGGGCAGCGCACGCGCGCATCTCGTTCGCCAACAAAAACTCTAGCAGCGCCGCCGCCGGCGCGCGTTCGGTCGCCGCCCGCGGCGGGTCCGCCGCACCCGACTCGGCCGCGGGGCCGACCGCGATCACGCCGGGCATTACGGCGGCCGTCTCTCTCCCTTCCTCTGTGGCCCGGCCGGCTGCGACGCCGCCGCTCGTGGCGCCCGGGGCGGCTGTCAGCGCCAAGAAAAGGTCTTGCAGCAGTGGCAGCATGTGGCGGCCGTAGGCAGCCCCCGGGGTCACGCCGTCGGCGTCCGCCAGCTGCCTGCACAGCCGCCGCAGCTCTCGCGCCGCGCCCCGGCACGCGCTCGCGCCCGCGCCCGCGCCCTCCGCCGCGCCGCTGCCGCTGCCTGCGTCGCCCGGCGCCTCGTGCAGCGCGAGGGCCGCCGTTTGGGCGACGAGCGAGTCGCGTGCCCCAGCCGCGACGCCAGGCGCGCCCGATGACGTCAGACATTCATCATCGCGGCCACCGCTGGAGCCGCCGCCCGCGGGCGGGGCCGGCGCGCGCTCCAGCAGGTGCAAGAGAAGCAGGGCAGCTGGTGGCGCCACGTCAGCAGCAGCAGGCAGCGGGACAAGCACCCGCAGGTGCGCGCGGGCGCCGCTGCCCTCGCCGCTCCGCCCGCCGCCCGGGCTGGGGACTGGGCTGCTGGTGGGGCCGCCGCCCGCTGGGGCGCAGTCGGGGGAGCACCTGAGGCTGCTGCTACTGTCGCTGATGTCACCGTCGGCCGCCCTGCGCGGGCGCGGCCCCTCCACCGCCTCCCCCGGCGCCTCTCCGGCGGCGGCCGCCGCTGCCAGCAGCTCTTGTGACGTCAGAGTGACGTCATGGAACGGATGGAGGCTGCGGGTGGCGGAAGGCGGGCGGGCGGTCGCGTCAGGCGGGGGCCTCAGGGATTGCGCCGGGTTGGGATCAACGGCAGTGGCTCAGCAGCGGTGAACACCTGCATAGCAAGCCATGGTCTGCAAACTTAGAATTGCAATTGTTGCGGCGCGAGAGCCACGGAAGCCATGCGTGTCACTGATACAGTGGCCCCACTACCAACGGCAGCCCCCCACCCCCGGGGAACACGATGCACACGGGCACGTAATCACCTGCCAGACGCGCAGGCGACCACCCTCAAGGCAGACCCAGAGGCCGCCAGCTGCACCGCCAGCGCCCTGGGCACGTGGAGCGTGACGCATCCGCCGCCGTCGCGACTGGCGGGCAGGTCCGGCCCACCCGGGGCCTCTGCAGGATGGCTGACAGAGGCTCCGGCCACAGCCGCGTCCTGCGCGCCGCCGCCGGCGCTGGGCGCGAGGACGAGCGCGCACGGAGACGCAAACAGCTCGGCGGCCGCCGGCGCCGGCGCCGGCGGCGCGGCGCCGCTCGGCCGCAGCGGCGCGGCGGCGGTCCGTCCTGGGGGCTGGGGGTTTTGCCGCGCGGGGGATGGGATGACCGTGGCACTCAAGACGTCGAAGCCCGCGGGCGGCGTCAGCCGCAGCTGTCGCGGCCCGGCGTCATCGTCTTGGCTGGGCGAGCCGGGTGCAGGCGGCGCGGCTGCTGGTCGGGAAGCTTCCGGCGTGGTGGCGGCGCCGATGACGAGGAATGACAGTTGGAGGCAGCCTGCAGGGCAAATACATGATTGCCGCGGCGAGCGCGGCATCTCAGTGCAGCTGCGCCCAGCGCAGCAGGGCGCGCTGGCGAGACAAGCGCCGCGGGGCCGTGCAGGCGGCGCGGGGGGTGCCGGCTGGTGACCCGCGGGCGACGGCCGTCGAGGCAGCATTGGCGCGCGCTGGTGTTGGTGATTTGACACCGTGTTTATGGTGACCATAAATGCGTGCCATCTACACACAGGACCACACACGGGGTAGGTGGTGGTTGACAAGGGCTGCAGCGCCTCACCTGGAAAGCCGCAGTAGACGATATGGGTGGGTGCCACCACGCCCGCCTGCGGGCGCAGAGCGCGTTGCATGACGACGGGACCCGAACTTGTGAGGGAGCGCGTCGCGATTACCCACCCCGCTCCGGCCGGGAAGAGCGCCCGCATGCCAGGTGCAGGGTCGGCCGCGGACCAAAGCGGCTGCCCGCGCGAAAAGCAGGCGCGCGCCGCCATGCCGCGGGCGTGCGCAGCAATGCCCTTTGGCGGACGGATGGTGTCCCTCAGCGCGCGCACGTGGCGCGCCTGCAACGCCGCCTCACGGGCCATGCTCGCCACCGTCTCCTGCAGCGCCGCCGCCGCCGCCCGCCGCGCCGCATCCCCCACCACCGGCTCCGCGGCCGCCGCTGGCCACGTCACCCTCGGCCGCTGCCGCCAAGACGGCCCCTCGGCCGCGCTCTGGCCGCTTAGCTGCGGCGCCAGCAACACCGTCGTGCCCGCGACCACGCCGCCGGCCAAGGATGAGGCACCGCCCGCGCGCTGGCCGCCGCCGCCGCTGCTGCCGCCGTCGGCGCTGCCAGTGGGCTGAAGCTTCACGCTGATTGTGGCGCGGCGCGTGGCGTGGGGCGAGTAATTAACCCGGGTACCCGCCGCGCGGGCCGCGTCTGAGAGGCGCTTCGCTTCCGCCATCACTTCTTTCAAGTCAATGACGAGCGCGCCTGCCTCGCTGCTTCTCGCCCGCGCGCCAGCAGTGCCGCGAGAGCCGCTTGGCTCAAGCGTCGGCCGCGCGGGCGGCCGCTCCTGCCCTTGTCGCTCCTGCCCTTGCTGAGGCTCCTGGCGCTGCTGCTGCTGCTGCTGCTGCTGCTGCTGCTGCTGCTGCTGCTGCTGCTGCTGCTGCTGCTGCTGCTGCTGCTGCTGCAGTTGCTGCTGCTGCTGCTGCTGCTGCTGCTGTTGCTGCTGCTGCTGCTGCTGCTGCTGCTGCTGCCGCCGCCGCCGCTGCTGCCGCTGCTGCCGCTGCTGTTGCGCTTGCTGCCGCCGGCGCTGTGCACGGAGGCGCCGCAGCCACATCCAGAGGAGCATGCCGGCGCCCGCCGCCCCCGCGGGCGCGACGGCGAACGCGGCCAGCCCAAGCGCGCGGCCGCGCACGCAAATCGCCCCGAGCGCCGCGACCGCCGCCCCGCCGCCTGCGAGCGCTGGCGCGCACGCGGCCGCGACCCAGGCCGCCGCAGCGGCGCCCGCGGCGGCGATCAGGGCTAGCGCGCGGCTTCTGAGCTCGGACGCGGCGGCGGCAAGGAGGGTGCCGTTTAGTAACAAGATGCAGATCAGAACTGGCTCCACATCCAATGCGGGCCCCGCCAGGGTCCAGGCCGCCACCGCGTTGGCCGCCAGGACGGCGGCAGCGAGCAGCTCCGCCCGCGCCGCGGCGAGCGCGCGCTGCAGCCGCCCCGCGCAGAAGACCAGCAGCGCGGCCGCGGCCGCGGCGGCGAGCGCAGGGGCCGCGGCCCAGAGGGCGGATGAAAATGAGGGCTGCCCGTCGGGGCCCCTGCGGCCGCCAGGCGCGGCGCCGTGCGGTACGGTGTCGGCGGCAAGAGAGGCCTGCCGCGAGCGGTCCAGTGGGTGCCCGGCGCGCTGCGCGCCGCGCAGCTCTGCGACGGCGCGGGCTGCGGAACAGGCCGGCGCCAGCGCAACCGTTATCCCGTGGCCCAGCAGCGCGTAGGCCGCCGCTCTGCCCGAGCTCGCACTTGTGAGCCACAAACGTTTCAGAAGGTTCATATTGATGCTACACAGTCATATGGTGAAGCACGGTCTGCCGGCTCAGATCGTTTTGCGGCCCGTACGATGAAATTTGGCAGCGGTCATCTGCAATCTTGTGCAAACCAATCTACATGAGTCTGCGATTTGGTCTGCATTTCTTCAAGCACGGTTAATGTTGTGCACAAGCCTGTCGCAATCCCCAGCAGAACGAGGTGATGTCAGCCGGACATGCAGTGGTGCTGGCCACCCTGCTGGGCAGGAAACCAGGGGGCTGATGCACTGCGATGGGTAGTGCGACAGCGGCCCATGTGCTGCATCATCTCAGCCCAACAAATGTCCAGTGAACTGTCCAGCCAGCATGCATCTTCAACGCAGAGCCAGTCAACCCCTTGCCCAGGCGACCCCTGAAACGAGGCAGGCGAGCTGCCTGCCGGGCAGCAGTCGTGCGGCGCCCCTCGTCCCACTGGTGGCGTCCGTTTTGAAGCTGCATGCCATTCTGATCATCCGTTAATTGGTGTCCTGCTAATAATCCATGTTTGCTTACCTTGTTGCGGATGCGCACCGCAGCCCAGGCAAATGCGATTTATGACTTTCATGCGCATGATGCTGGCCGGGTGTGGCCAAGGTCCCGAAGGCGCCACTACCAGGGGGCGCGTGTGTTTGCACCCCTGATTGCTCTGCCACACTCACTGCTGTTTGCTGGCTGGAATGCCCTGAACTGTTGCTTGACACGGCCACACTGCCACACTACCAATGACTGCTACGAGCCAAGTCTTGAAGTCGCTGCTTGTTGCAATCCATTACTCGTGCTGGCAGACACTTGACTTATGACGCGACATAAGCGGACTAAGAGCCACGCGCCGCCAGGCACAGTGCGCCCTGCGCATGCGCCAGCGCTGCAACACGCTGCGTGCGGCGCACACATCAAAAGACGGCCCTGATCCGCCCCGGGTCAGCGCGACAACAACGCAGGGCTGCCTCGCACGGCAGCAAAGCCACTGCCGCCGTCGCCCCCGCCGCCGCCGCCGCCTCTGCGCTCCAGCGCCAGCGGGGCTGCCCCCTCTAGGCGGCAAAGCGCTTGGCCTGCTCCTGGATGATGGTGAGCCGCACGCCGCGCGCCTTGGGCAGCGACACCAGGGGCTTGTTGCCCTTGCCAATGACAAACACGTTGGACACGCGCGTGGCGAACTTGTTGCCGGCGCTGTCCTCGACGTGCACAATGTCGTGGCCGCCGCGGTGCTTCTCCTTGGACACGATGGTCCCCACGCGGCCGTTGTTGTGGCCGCCCGTGACCATCACGAGGTTGCCC